CTCTCTCTCTCTCTCTCTCTCTCTCTCTCTCTCTCTCTCTCTCTCTCTCTCTCTCTCTCTCTCTCTCTCTGGCCCGCTCTCTCCCTCTCCCTCTCTCTCTCTCAATGCTTGGTATGCCATTCTTGGTACTTTACCCTACAGTCTTGCCTACGCGACCTATTGACTTGCCTACGCCCACCTAGGTGACCGACACGACGTAGGCGACCTACCTATACCCTATGTGTGGCTTACTGATACCACACGGGCCCCAATTAGGGTCCGGTTTTGTAGTAGGCATGGTTTAGGCCTTGGTACCGGGTCACGACGGTCCCAGCTAGGTCCGAGTAGGCCTAGGAACCATCGGTTCACACGTCCGCCTGCTTCCGCCCACCTCCGCTCACACCTCCACGCACCTCCGCTCGCCTCCACTCACCTCCGCCTTCGTCTCCTCCCGCCATCTCCTCCCGCCATCTCCTCCCGCCGTCTCCGCTTTCTTTACTACCCGCACATCCGCTCCTCTGCCCGCACATCCGCCATCCCGCTGTTCATCTCGGCGCTCACCTCACCTACGGCCTGCCTACCATAGCAGTCTCTCTCTCTCTCTCTCTCTCTCTCTCTCTCTCTCTCTCTCTCTCTCTCTCTCTCTGGCCCGCTCTCTCCCTCTCCCTCTCCGCTCGCCTCCACTCACCTTCGCCTCCGCCTTCGTCTCCTCCCGCCATCTCCTCCCGCCATCTCCTCCCGCCGTCTCCGCTTTCTTTACTACCCGCACATCCGCTCCTCTGGCCGCACATCCGCGATCTCGCTGTTCATCTCGGCGCTCACCTCACATACGGCCTGCCTACCATAGCGGTCTCTCTCTCTCTCTCTCTCTCTCTGGCCCGCTCTCTCCCTCTCCCTCTCTCTCTCTCAGTGCTTGGTATGCCGTTCTTGGTACTTTGTGCCCTACGGTCTTGCCTACGCGACCTATTGACTTGCCTACGCCCACCTAGGCGACCGACACGACCTAGGTGACCTACCTACAGCCTATGTGTGGCATACTGATACCACACGGGCCCCAATTAGGGTCCGGTTTTGTAGTAGGCATGGTTTAGGCCTAGGTACCGGGTCACGACGGTCCCAGCTAGGTCCAGGTAGGCCTAGGAACCGTCGGTTCAGTTTAGGGTCCGGTAGGCCTCGTTTAGACCCCACCAGACCCAACGGCTAGTTGGTTAGGCCAGGTACCAGTCCATCGATAGGACTAGCCGGCGGCGCAGTTTAGGCGCCACTGTTTCAGATTTCTGAAATCGGATCTGAAACATTGGGCCCGATCAACGGTCCAAACGAAGGCACTGAGTAGGACTGAGGCCGGTACCAGCCTCAATCGGGTAGGTTAGTCTACAGTTGGTCTGGAGGTTAGGCTACGAGTTAGTATCTAGATTAGCGCAGCATTTCAGTGTTGGGAAGCGCGGGGCAATAGAGAGATTAGCGCAGCAGTGAGGAGAAGCAACGCAGGAGTTAGCACAGCAGCAGGAGTAGCGCCGGCCCTCCGGCCCAGCCCGCGGCCCAGCGCCCAGCCCTGCCGCACCATATCTGCAGCACCAGGTACCAGGGAGAAAGGCCTCGCCTTTCCTCCCTCTTCTTCCTCCTCCGCTCTCCTCTCTCTCTCTCTCTCGCTCTCCCCCCTACCCTCTGAGTCCAAGTCTGCTCTCGGGTTACTCCTACCAGACTACTACGACTATGAAGGATGGTTACGAGTTCTGATAATATGGGAGATAACAACATTGAGACGGCAGGTTGAGGACTACTTACGAGATCTAATTTCATCTACCTCTGGAAATGTATCTTGACATTGTGAGATCGATATCTGAGACACTGTGAGACTCCGTGTTCGTGACCTTTCGGATTTCGCTACTTCTGACATTTCGAGATACGATTTTCGAAAACATCGAGTTGACGTCATATTCGCTGTCCTCCTCCCTTCGTCTCTTCTCCCCCCCATTCATCTGTGTATGAGATCAGTCCCTGGCCTCTTCTTCCATGTTCAAGGCCAGGGCCTTCCCACCACCGATGTACGTTTGTGAGTGTTTCGTTGCAGTTTGAGTCAGGTCTGAGTCAATCCATGTATCTCAACTTTCTCAAGTCTTCCGCTGTATTTGTATGTACTCTGTATTATCTGGTCCGTTCTGGGAATCTGAGCCAAACTTATGACTGTGTTTCATGAGTATGCAACACTACGCGATCCATGCAACCTACCTACGGCCTGCCTACCGTAACGGTCTCTCTCTCTCTCTCTCTTTGTGGACCTCCCTCTCCCTCTCTCTCTCTCCCTCTCCCTTTTAATTAAATATTTAATGTTTGCCAAATTAAAAATTTTATTTAATTAACTCTTGCTTAATTAAATAATTAAATACTCAATATTAAATTTTTTGAAATTCAATTTTTTTTGTGGGGGGGGATGTTTTTTTTTTCTTGATTACCATCAAGTCCGAGGACGAGGGCAGAAAGGGACTGTCTGTGCATTTGCTTGCCTCCCTCCCTTCTTCCCACGCCTACCTTCTCCCTCCTCTCGGTACTACAGACTTCAGTCTCCGGCCACGTCAGCATTGAGCCACATCAGCAGCGTGCCACGACAGCAGATTGACACATCAGCAGGGTGCTACCTCAGCGATGACACGTCAGCCGCAACGAAGGCAGGACTACTAGATGCGCCGCAGTCAACGACTTGCTGAGCGCGGATCCAAGGGAACCAAGCCCCAAGAGGGACCTAAGACACCTCGGATCCCGTGCGGACAACGCACGACCATGGCCGCCACCGCTGACGCAAATTCACAAGCCAGCTCCGCGAGGCCGGCTACTCCCCCTATGCTAGTTCAGCAGGCAGATGAAACGCAACTAGCGTTTCTTGACCGTCTCCAGCTATACTCGGAGGCTGCTGCAGCTGAACTTCGCAAATGGGAACAGGAAGAAGCCGCCCGCCAGCAGGCGATCCAACGACAGTTGGCAGAGTCCGAGGGAGCGTGTCAGCAGGCGCGTGGTTACAACAGCAGCAGACGGAGGCAAGTCAGAATCAAGTTCGTTACCAAGCCACAATGGAGCTCGCCAACGAAGAAGCCACGTACCGGAGGGTACTTCGACAACAACACTTTCAAGCAAACGAAGAACAAGAGGAGCCGACCGAGGAAGAGAGAAGCAAGGAGGCAATAGCAGTACTAATGGAAAACGTGCTGTACACGTGCAATTGGCAGCAACGCGAACTGCTGGCCGTGCAACAAATCTTCATCCACTACGAAACAACTTTTAGGGCGCTGGAACAGAAGATCACCGCCTTGCAAACCGTGAACAGCGATCAGCAGGCCATCAACGACCAGCTGCAAACCACTGTCAACACAGGGTTGGCACGCCTGTTTGCAGTTGAGTCGACGGGCAATGCAGCGGCGGATTGCAGCCCAACTTTGGCCGCCCAAGCCAAACAACTCGAGGAGCGGATCAACCACGTAGTCGCATCCCTTGGCGCCATCAGCAAGTTCGCCAGGACGTCTCCGGTCAGCAACCAGCTGCACACGCTCAGCGACCACGTTCAACAACGAACGACCACCGTCGTCAAGGAATGGAAGATGCCGAACTTCAAGATTGAGAAGTTCGACGACTACCACATGACTGGTCCGCTGCAATGGTGGATGGCATTCAACGCAGAGGCGGACGTACACCACGTCCCACCACTGCGGCGGCTTGACTCACTCTACCTCCAGCTCATCGGAGGGGCGCAAGCATTCATGACGCACATGGCCGTCACGTTGGATTGCACCATCGCCACCCTCCATACCAAGATCTCTTGGGAGGAGTTTGAGAAGAAGTGGAAGACCTGGTTCATGGTCAACAACGACAAGCGTCACGCACCGAACACGATCTTTCGCATCTTCCAAGGCCAACAAACATCACGGGAATGGTTGACGGAGTGGCAAAGACTCGCCACCCCGGAGTGAAACCTGCCGTTCGACGCAATCCGGGCTGAGTTCTCGCCCGATCTTGCGACGGCTTGACAGCTGCCCTTGGCAGCGAATCCCAGTATGAGACCTTCGATGAGATTATCTCAAAGACAAGGGAACTCATACAAGGTAACCAGCACGCGGCCAATGAGGCCCGCCGACAGCCCGGTTACGTGGAGAAAGGCAAAGGTCCGCGGACGCCGCAAGTAGCAGCGATCCAGCAAGGATCTAGTGAGGACCACGCAGCCGCTTCAACATCAAGTGACGAAGATGTGGCGACAGTGATACCACCGCAACGCTCAAGACCCCGTGGGGGAAAACACAAGGCGAAAACAACGTCAACAGATGGAGCGAGACAGTCACCATGGACGAAGTTTGGGATCACCGAAGACATGTTCAAGTTACGGCAGAAATGGGGGTGCTGTTTATGGTGCAACAACACCAAACACATCACTAGTGACTGCCTCGACAAGGAGAAAGAAAATGTCAAGCGTCCAGGCTCGGGAAACTGAGCACCGCGGGAAGTGCAACAACATCACTTCCAGTCCGTCGGACTCGGCTGCCTTGCTACCAGTCTCTCTCACATCCGGGGACATTATGCTGTCCAGCTGTTCCCACCGTTGAACCAGCCTGTTCACGTGCAAGATTCAAGCGCATGCGCGGTGTTACCGTCGTCGGACAACGAACCGGTTGCTTCGCCAACCCTTCTATCGGAGGATCCGTCAACTTGGGCGAGTCTTGAGGAACTCGACCCGTTGACGGTTGAGGACTTCCAATGGTTGCCTCTTCCCTCCACTGGTTCTTTGCCAACACCGCATTGCAACGCCCTCATGGCACATTTGCGCGAATACTTGCACGCTGCAGTACCACCTCCGTCGACAGGCGGCGGAGTAGCGGTTGTTGACCTTTACAGTTATCTCACGAAGATCGACCACGAGCACACAACACAACAGTACGTCGACATCGACGCGCCACTCATCTACATCCACATTCAGATCGGAAAGGCGACCTGCAATGCCTTGATCGATCGATTGTGGAGCGACTCGCAACTACATCAGCCAAGACTATATGGCACGCGCCGGGCTTGGCCCGCGCATTCGAAGGAAAAGTCAGCCTACGCACGTCACGTTGGCTGATGGTCACACGCAAAAGTCAATCGACCGCTGCGTTGACTCCATGCCCGTGTACTTTGCCCCACTAGCATGCGAGGCCGTGTCATTCGACATATTGGACACTAAGTTCGATATGATCGTAGGCATGTCGTGGCTGCAAAACGAATACCATCCGGTAAAATTTTTCCAACGCACCGTTCACGTTCGTGATCGGCGTGGCGAACTAGTTCCGTGCATGGTGCTGTTTCCTCATACTTTGATTGATTGTCACGTGGTTTCCGGGGCGAGCATTCGCCAATCCATCAACCGACATGACATCGAGGAGATGGGCATGTGTTTTCTTCACGCCCTCCCACCCGGTGATCAGCCCAAGACGGACACATCGAACCCACGCATTATTGAGCTTTTGGACAACTATGAGGATGTCTTCCAAGCTCCCGCCGGAGTAGTACTGGATCGACCCATACACCACGGGATCACTCTCGAGGACGGCGCCGTACCTCCGTGCAGATGCATTTACTGAATGAGCGAAGAGGAGCTTCAAGTGCTTAGGGCACAACTAGACGACCTCTTGGCCAAGGGCTGGATTCGCCCTAGCTGTTCGCCATAGGGTGTTCCCATTCTCTTCGTCCGGAAGAAGAACAAGGACCTTCGTTTGTGTATCGATCGGAAACTTAACGCGGAAATGATCAAGAACACCGGCCCTCTGCCAAGTACTTCTCGAAGCTTGACCTCAAATCCGGATATCACCAGATCGAGATCCAGCCAAGAGATCGATACAAGACCACGTTCAAGACATGGTATGGGCACTTTGAGTGGATCGTCATGCCTTTCGGTCTCACTAATGCCCCGGCTACTTTCCAAGCGGCTATGACGACGGAATTCCGTGACTTGCTCGACCGCACCGCACCGTACTCATTTACCTTGATGATATCTTGGTTTATAGCCGGTCGTTGGACGAGCACCTTCGCTCCATTTTGGAGCGGCTCCGTATCGCCAAGTATAAGGCAAACCGAGACAAGTGCGAGTTTGCCCAGCAAGAGCTGGAGTATTTGGGCCATTTGCGTTACGCTGCAAGGCCTTCGTCCGCTCGCAGACAAGGTACAAGCCATTCAAGATTGGTTGAACCTCGCTTGTGCTACCAACGTCCACTCCTTTCTTGGCTTAGCATCATACTACATGTGCTTCATCAAGAGCTTCCAACGGATTGCTACACCATTGTCGTGACTTCAGACGCCCTTGGTGCCTTTCGAGTTCAAAAGCTCGACACGCGTTCCATACGCTGAAGACGACTTTGCTTCAAGCTCCCGTCTTAAGCATCTATTACCCGACCTTGCCAACCGAAGTGACTACGGATGCTTCTGGATACGACATTGGCGCGGTTTTGGAATAGCATGACAACACAGACTGGCATCCGGTTGAGTACTTCAGCCAAAAGGTGCCACCCATCAATTCCCTTGATGATGCGAGGAAGAAGGAACTGCTGGCTTTTGTCATAGTACTAGAGCGTTGGCGTCACTTTCTCCTCGGGCGTCGGCGATTCACGTGAGCAACGAACAACAATCCGTTGACTTATTATAAGACGCAAGACACGGTGAGCAGCATGATCGGTCGCTGGATGTATTTCACTGACCAGTTCGACTTCACCTCCAAGCATATTCCAGGTCCCTCGAACAAGGCAGCGGATGCTCTCTCACGAAGATCCGATCTTTGCGCCTTGGTGCACTCCACATTCGGCCTCGACAAGGACCTGCAACAGGATTTCGTAAACGGCTACAAGTCGGATCCGGGATTCTCCACCCTCTATGCGGACTTATCATCGGATCAATCGCCGGTAAGCAACTATCGCATTGTCGACGGCTACTTGCTTCTCCATACGCGAGGCGAGGATCTGTTGTGTGTTCCCCAAGACCGCATCTTGCGCACTCGCCTCCTTGGGAAATACCACGATTCGCGGCTGGCGGGACACCTTGGCGTCGCACGCACACTGACACGACTCCGCCAGCGATGTCACTAGCCGGACATCATCAGCGACGTCAACCAGTCCATTCAGTCATGCGTAGTTTGTTACCGGAACAAAGGGCGCCATCAGCTCGTACAGCAAACTGAAACCATTGCCGATTTCTCGGGAACGACGTCTCTCCATTGCTATGGATGTGACCAGTCCTTTCCCTCGCGATCGCCTTGGCCATGATGGTATTCTCACGGTCGTTGATCGTTTGACGAAGTACGCTCGAGTTCTTCCATGCAAGTATCATGCGACGGCTCCCGAGCTACCACGACTCTTGCATACCGGCTGGTTTTGCAGCCACGACGTCCCGGAAGACATCATCAGCGACGGCAACACTCGTTTCATGTCAGCCTTTTGGACGACACTCATGGTAGAGTCCGGCACCAGCATGAAACCCAATTCCGCACGACATCCTCAAACGGATGGGCAAACGGAACGTGCGCACCAGACTGCGCAGATGATGCTCCGCACACTCATCCGCCCGGACCAGAAGGACTGGGTTGACCGCCTTCCCGACATAGAGTTCGCCTACAACACTTCGGTGCACCCGGCGGTCGGTGTGACCCCATGCGAGTTGCATCACGGTGGACGGAAAGGCCGTATCTTCGCAGACATTTTTTTTCCACGGGCTGCCGATATTGACGCTGTTTGCTCCCCCGCTTCTACACGGAAGTACCGAGATCTGCTGCCCAAAGCCCGCGAAAATATGCAAAAGGCTCAGGTCCGTAGGCAGCAGCAACCGAACCAGCGTTGCATCCCATGTCCAATACTCGTTGGCGACCTTGTTTGGGTCACCTCCGAGGAATTCGCGCTCGAGCAGCACGTCTCGCGTAAGCTCCTCCCTAAGTGGTTTGGGCCATGGAAGGTCACTTCAGCTGCTGGCGACGACCCCGTGGGTCCCTCCTTCATAATCAAGATTCCCCTGCATCTGATAGTCCACCCTGTATTTCACTCTTCGAAGCTGGCGGTCTACACTCCAGCCTCACGAACGGAATTCCCAGGCAGACGGTCCCAAGTCCTCGCTCATCACAAACACAGCAACAAGCCGATGCAGTACAAAGTTACTTTCAAGCAATGCAATCCCGACGACACACGCTGGATTTCACGAGCTGACCGGAAGACGACAACACCCCTCAACAGCGACTTGCTAAGGAAGCTGCCCAACCCGCCCGCCCCGTACAGACATTGGACAGACAGCTGCGCCCTCTCAGTGAGCTCCGTTTTCAAGGGGGGGAGAATGTGGCATATTGATACCACATGGGCCCCAGTTAGGGCCCGGTTCTGTAGTAGGCACGGTTTAGGCCTAGGTACCGGGTCACGACGGTCCCAGCTAGGTCCAGGTAGGCCTAGGAACCGTCGGTTCAGTCTAGGGTCTGGTAGGCCTCGTTTAGACCCCACCAAACCCAGTGGCTAGTTGGTTAGGCCAGGTACCGGTCCATTGGTAGGACTGGCCGGCAGCGCAGTTTAGGCGCCACTGTTGCAGATTTCGAAATCGGATCTGAACCGTTGGGCCCGATCAACGGTCCAGACCCGAAGGCACTCAGTAGGACTGAGGCCGACCCAGCACTATATAAGCTGGGTACCAGCCTCAGTCGGGTAGGTTAGTCTACAGTTGGTCTGGAGGTTAGGCTACGAGTTAGTCTACAGATTAGCGCAGCATTTCAGCGTTGGGAAGCGCGGAGCAATAGAGAGATTAGTGCAGCAGCGAGGAGAAGCAGCACAACAGCGAGGAGAAGCAGCGCAACAGGAGTAGCGCCAGCCCTCCGACCCAGTCCGCGGCCCAGCCCTGCCGTGCCCAATCTGCAGCGCCAGGTACCAGGGAGAAATGCCTTGCCTTTCCTCCCTCTTCTTCCTCCTCCGCTCTCCTCTCTCTCTCTCTCTCGCTCTTCCCCCTGCCCTCTGAGGCCAAGTCTACTCTTGGGTTACTCCTACCAGACTACTACGACTATGAAGGATGGTTACGAGTTCTGATAATATGGGAGATAGCAACATTGAGACTGCAGGTTGAGGACTACTTACGGGATCTGATTTCATCTACCTCCGGAGATGTATCTTGACATTGTGAGATCGATATCTAAGACACTGTGAAACTCTGTGCTCGTGTCCTTTCGGATTTCGCTACTTCTGACATTTCGAGATACCATTTTTGGAAACATTGGGTTGACGTCATCTTCCCTCTCCTCCTCCCTTCATCTCTCCTCCCCCCCATTCATCTGTGTATGACATCAGTCCCTGGCCTCTTCTTCCATGTTGAAGGCCAGGGCCTTCCCACGACCGATGTATGTTTATGAGTGTTTCGTTGCAGTCTGAGTCAGGTCTGAGTCAATCCATGTATCTCAAGTCTTCCGCTGTATTTGTATGTACTCTGTATTATCTGGTCGGTTCTGGGAATCTGCACCATACTTATGACTGTGTTTCACGAGTATGCAACACTACACGATCGATGCAACCTACCTACGGCCTGCCTACCATAACTCTCTCTCTCTCTCTCTCTCTCTCTCTCTCTCTCTCTCTCTCTCT